ACCACTACCACCACTACTACTTCTGCTGAAATGGCGACGGCGCCCTGTCCTGCTCGGGACGACCGGTGCTATGCTCAACAGGTCAGCATATTGCCAGGAATGCGCAGGCATTTGTATTCAACGACTGCTCCCTTGCAGGAGATTTTCTGTGCGATGTTTAGAAATCTGCCCTGGCAAAGGTCCTCGCGGCCGTGGCCTCCTCGCCGATCGAATCCGCTTGCTCGGTGGAGCATTTCGGATGTTGCAAGATGACATTTCCAGCTTAGGCTTAGGATTGGAAGTTTTGGGTTTTCTTGGCCAGGTCTGGATTCTAGATCTTAGGCGATTTAAGTTTGGACGGTCCAGCTGCTGGGGTCGCTTGAGTCGTTAAATTGGCTTGGGGCGGCACGCGCGGAGTCGCGTGATGACGGTGTGCATTTGGTTTGAGCAGCAGCGGGAGAAGGCGGAGGAGGAGCAAAGGAGAAGCAATTGCTGTAGTAGTAGTAGCAGTAGTAGTCGTCGTCGCGGTAGTACTAGTAGTCGTTGTCGTATCCAGGCTTAACCCACATCCGCTTCCATGAGGTTCGCTTGGCCAAGCAGGTAGCCCAGCCGGTGGACTGCAGCGTCGCGGGGACCTGAAGGTTATGGGGAACCCCAGAAAGTTGGAACATGGATTTGGGGTGATTAGTGCTGGATTCCGCTCTTCTTTGGTAGGAGGGTATTAGGATACTGATGTTCCAACTTTCTGGATTCTACTGTAAGGTCTAGCAAAGGTGAACGTTTCTGCGACCAGGGAACTCAGCAATTTGGAGGATCAGCTGCGATTTCGTAGACTACCCACCCCCACCTACGGGTTAAGGTTCAGTTCCTCAGTTTACCGCTTTGGGGCTTCGGGCTTAGGGAAAGCTCGGGGTGGAGGGCCCTTAAGGCTCAGTGCGTACTGTTACGTAACCAGCAGACCATCCCAAGACGGGCCAGAGGCTACGTGCTCAATTACTTTCACGAAGGGTTTAGACTTCAGAGCTTGCCGCTTGGGGTTTCGGGATCCAGGATTTTGGGTTTAGGAGCTTAGCTGTTAGGGTTTATATACCGGTTCCCTAATCGAAAAACGAGAAGATTCGATGGTAGTGTCATACGGTTTCTATGATGTCCCCGCAGGGCTCATCCGCGGTTAGAGTTTGGAGGGCTTGCACTACTCCGTGGTCCATGACATGTCCGATCGGGGGCGCAGGCGTGTACTTCCAAAGTAGCAGCGGGGAGCCTCTTACGTGTCATCATGTCGGTTGAGGCATTCAGGAGCATCATGGCGGTCCCCAGCTCTGCCACAAACTTCGAGACCTGAAACCCTGAACTATATTAATATTACTACAAACTATGATATACTATAATATACGGTAATATAAAATAAAGTAAGAACATACTATAATATACTACAACATACTATTTTTACTTACTATAACATACTATAGTAGAATATACTATAATAGTATAATCAAACCATTAACCCAAGCCCGTGCAAGCCATGGCCTTTGCACAGACTGGTGCGCCCTGAGACGTCAGACAGGGCTACCTTTTCTGGAACGTGGAAAGCTTGATGCAGACTCACGACATGGAGCTCGCCAATATCTCCAGAATTTCTGGTCTGCCCTGCAATGCAATGTCCATGCTCCACCGGATGGCTGTCATAGCTCTGCCAATGCTGAGTAATGGAGATTCTGGCGGCTGCAAGACGGGTGAAGCCTCTGCATAGGCCCTGTCTCATTGGATGGTACCGGACGTAACAGACTGGTGCGCCCTGAGACGTCAGACAGGGCTGCCTTTTCTGGAACGTGGAAAGCTTGATGCAGGCTCATGACATGGAGCTCGCCAATACCTCCCGAATTGCTGGACTGCCTTGCAATGCAATTTCCATGCTCCACCGTATGGCTGTCTTGGCTCTGCTAATACTGAGTGGTGGAGATTCTGGCGGCTGCAACATGGGTGAAGCCTCTGCATAGGCTCTGTCTCAGTGGATGGTACCGGACGTGGAAGCCAACTGGAAAGCTACAGTGGTGTACAGTACACTTTCCTTACCAGGAAGATGTTGTGGAAGCCTTGGAACGCTTGCTGTAGCCTCGCGACATAGAGCTTACCAATATCTCCAGAATTTCTGGTCTGCCCTGCAATGCAGTGTCCATGCTACACCGGATGGCTGTCCTGACTCTGCCAATGCTGAGTGCACCAGTGAAGTCTCTGCATAGGCCATGTCTCAGGGGATGTTACCGGATGTGGAAGTCACCAGAAAGGCTGCATCGTTTCTGCGCAGACTACGTCAGTCCACTGCGGGCTCTGTCGTAGGAAGACACTGCTGGGACCCAGAGTCCTGTTGGTGTTTGCCGAACTCTGCCAATGAAACATGAGGAGCATTCCGTGGAAACATGCAATGGTGCCGACTCCACGCAGGTCCTGGCTCTCGGATGCATGTAGGCAGATCCTGGCCGTGTGCGAAGGGAGAAATCTTTGTCGTGAAGAGACGCAGATGTTCACTGAGCCTTCTGAGAGTGTTTTGTTACAGACTCGTTTCACAAGCTGAGCGAACTTGGTGCTGAGCTAGCAGCAGAAAGCCGTGTCGTAGGCGCTCGCGAGTGTAACTGGCTGCACCTTTCCTTTGGCAGTGCCTTCTTTTAGATTTCTTCGTAGCTGTGACATTTCCCAGCTCCGGAGTTGCAGATTCGGACATGTGACCTGCTGACGGTGCCAAGTGGGAGCCAAAAGTATTTATTATACTAGCATATACTATAACATACTATAATACATACTATACTAGAATATAGTATAATGCAATATAATGTATATTATGTAATATAGTGTAATATACTAATAATATATTATATACTGTAGTATACTATAACCTACTATCCCAAGCCAGCTGAGGCTGGTGTGGCGGAGCAGCGGTGGATCGCCAGTGAATACAACCACTCCTGCTTTGAAGCGGTCCCCGATCAAGAAAGAGTGGAGCAGGCCAGGCACGGAGGGCTTATAGCAGCTAGGGTTAGGGGGACCCTTCTTTCAAGAAAGCCAGAAGTAGGCTTCAGAACAGGTTCCCGTTAAGGGGGGTCCCCGTCAAGAGAGAGTGGAGCAGGCCACTTTGTCATAGTCTGGTGACACTTTACATGTTTATGGGTACTTAAACCCCATAAGGAATAGAAATCTAAAGAATGAGTGGAGCAGGCGAGACACGGAGGGCATACTTTGAGGATCATGTGACATAGTATGTAAGGGTGTAGGGGTCCCTTTGAAGGGATCTATAGGGGTACTATCAGGGCTTAGGGCATAGTCACATGACAATGGTGCTCTTACACTGCGCTGACTTCACTGCTCTCAGTTGAACACCAAGATGAGAGCAATGATCTGGCAGCATGAAATTCTACGACTGCTAGCGAACACTGGCTTCTCGCTATCCCTCCACAACTCATGTAAGCCTCTCCAGCTTCAGAGATAGTTTTGCGCAGCCAGGAATTGAAGTTGCGCGCATGAGCAAGCCAGCGCTAGCCAGGAAAACTCATTATGTTGTATTGCCGGTCTGCACGTACGAATGCCGCCATGCGTGTGCATGCATGTGATATACATGCATGTAAGCAGCCAGGCGGCGGCTAGGCAGGCGGCTAGGCAGGCCGCTAGGCAGGCCGCTAGGCAGCGTGGCACATGACTGATGTGCTGTGTTGCAACAGACTACCCACCATGTTTTCTGTGCGCACAGCCTCTTGTGTGTTTTGACATGTGCAGGTACTGTGTTCGTGCTTTCTTTACATGGACGCCACGGAAAGATGCCGCACAGGCAGACAGAGCAGACACTCCAAACAGACTGTATTGTCATGGCCGTAAACTGCGAAAGGGCAAGGCCACAGCGTGCGGTAGTGATACAAGCCATACAAGCTTCGAACCGTAAACGTAATCCGACTTGGTCGAGTTGTGACAGCGTAAACCTGGTTCGTTTTAGTATGAGCGCCGAAACCAAAAGCCCGAAACCCCAAACCCCAACTCGGCGTGCAAGGAAGATTACTGGCTCGACATAGAAGAGGACTTGGTCACAACGTTGGCGCATGTCGACTCTTAGTTCTCCAGATTTAGACTACTTTAGATTTTTCAGACTAGGGTTTAGTAATGCTCTGATAGTATGCAGTATATAGTACAATCTGGTACATTGTTTGTACAGATAGATATAAACATATATATATATATATGTATACATATGGTCACCCCCCAAGATCCACCTTGAGCTTCTTCCTACTGTGTGGGGGCCTTGCTGGCTGACATGTAACTTGTGTTATCGACCCTTCCGAAACACCCTCAATACCTATGATTTCGTACATGTCATGGTTCATGTATCCTCAAACGAAACTTAGCAACTTCTGTAGATTCCACAGAATCCCGAAACAAGTTCAGTTTCAGCATTTTTGTTGTGTGCCTATTGGAAACCACAGTTTCTTGAGGTGGTTTCGCATTCATCATGGGCTAAGACACCAGTGTTCAGCGTTTGTGCGTTATTTATGCACAAATATTGGAGCAACTATTTCCGCACATGCAATGCTGCTGTTATTCAGTTGCTTCGTTGAATCAAACTGCTCGCAATGCCGGAGCATTATGCAATGCAGGAGTGCGTCCCAAACCCAGCCCTCAGTCCAGCTACCAAGCTTGGCACTAATTAGTCTCGAACGAGTCAAATACTAGACTTGCAACACACATCGCCGTAGCAACAACGACATCAGCACTGATAATGAGCAGAGCAGGTCTGGATCGCAATATTTGAAGCAATATCCACATTCGAGAGCCGCAGGGCCATAGTTGCCCAGATTTCGGGTACTTGTACCTGCCGAGGGTTTCGCGCTGGTAGTTTGGAGCCTGCTTGGGGGTTTCCAGACCTGCCGCAAACCCTCTCCGGATCTCCTTCGAAGCAGAAAGGAAAGTGGATCTTGGAGGGGGGGTGAGAAAAAAAGAAAAAAAAAATATATATATATATATATGTAGCCTAAACCCTAGAACCATATATGGTGTTCGCTTTTTTTTACCTGAGAAGTAAGGACTGGCTGGAGTCGAGTGGTTGGATCACTCCCAACGCTACAGCAGCTTGGCACACGGCTCGGTAATAATTTCTGCTGTACGCCGTTTTATCAACTCGAACCTGAAAACTAAACCCCAAGCCCTAAACAACTGCACCTCAAAGCTTGTTGTAGGATAAAAATGTTTAGAATCTGTGTTTCTCTGAATTAAGGCCTCTGTTTCAGTCCCCAATATTTTACGGCACCTCATAAAGAGGATCCTAAACGGGACCTTAATTTTGACATCTAGCCAAACCCTTGATGATAAGCCCTGGTTCGTTCTGTTACGTGCTTTCAAGTTCGCTTTCTCTTGCGGCCCTTGCCTTAGCCAAGCCTAATCTTGAACTAGACAGGGTTCAGAATTGACTAAGCCAAAATAGCGGAGAAGCCTGGAACCAGCCTTGCTTTTCAAGAGCTTGTTCAAACTTTTGCAAGTTGACAGTTGGATATTATTTATATTATGGATACCCTAGGCCCTTCATAGTAGCCCTATTATTCATAGACTGTTCCTGTATGGGGGCAGCACCCAACACATACCCTAACGAAGTGTAGCAGCTTCCTAGAACCGAGAACAAATCCCTTGGCCCTACCATGGGTCCTGTTTGGAGATGATGAAGATTCTTATGATTCTTAGTAGTAGTCGTAGCAGTATTATTATGACTTTGATGATTATTATTTGGAGAATTGCAACTAGTAGTAGTAAGATTACCATATTTATTATCATTTTTGTTATGATTCTCTGGTTATGACTAGTCTGATTGTCATGACGATCGCGGGATGTAGTCAGTAGGTTGTAAACAGGGTTTCAGGTCACTTAGCTGGGGTCACTGAGCTGAATCCGGAACCCTGTAAACCCCTTAAAGCCCCTGAAAAAATCCGTAAGCACACGCAAACATGCTAGTAGAAAACTTAAAGAAGCCTGATCCGTTAAGTGGTTATCATTATCATCATCAGTAAGAGTATTGTGACTATGATTGTCAATATTCCGATTATTGTCATTATGGTAGATATGATTATGAATATTATGATTATTTTTATTATTATGATGATTATCATTGTTGTATCTGCTTCGTTTTGATTATTAGTACTATGATCATTGTTATTTTATTGGCGCTGAGGATGTCGCGATCCAGGCTTTCTTCCTGAATGCCCAGAGCCAGTTCTTCGTGCTCTCCCAGATGCAGGTGGGAGAGTCAGAAAAAGAGGGAGCCCAAAAACAGATCTTACGTAGTAGGACCCTTATTCGACGAACCCGAATATCGACATCAAGTGGTCGGCTCCGTATAGCCCTAAACCCTAAACCCTAAACCCGAACCCTTAACGATAAATCCTTATTCTAAGGACTCTGACACGGTCAATCCTTATTGAACGGATACGAAGGTAGGCCCTAGGTTCCCAGATAGTAGGGCCCTTGTCCTTCTAGCGGTTGTAACATCGACCCTAGATAGTAGGGTCCTTCTTCCAAGAACCCCGACTTGAAACCTTGAATCGTGGGATCCGTATTCCAAGGACCCTGATGTAAATCTTAAACGGATGAGCCTTATGCCAAGAATCCCTGTCCCAAGCTTGGACCTTGAATCTTTGAATCCTTTATCTAAGGACCCTATCAAACCTCAGGAGCCGGATTCCTATTCTACAAACCCTCATATGCAAACTCAATCGGTTTAAGATTGTGGATTTCGTTTTGGGGACCCCTTACCTGGAACAAGCCTAAGCACCCGCCTCGACTGTTGAAATCATCAGGTCACACTGGAGGACACCGGGCGCCCTGGAAGGAAAGTCATGGTTGGGTTTACTTGTAACATACAAGGCTGACGTTTCAGGGTTCCGGATTATGAACGCCTGGAGCCCTAGACCCTGTATAATCCCACCAAAGCAGAAGGTCTCTTGTCTTTCGGGTAATAGAGGTAGTTAGAGTTGTTGATAGTATTCTTTAGGGCTGCTCATTTACTTGAGCCATAAAATGCCCCAAGGCGATAGTAAAATTGATGCTTGTTGGCTTGGTTGAGCGAGAAGCGTGGTTTTTGGAGGAGACAAGATCTGCTCCTGCAAGATTTCCTTCTGAACAGTGCTTTTGCAGAGGGTGCCTCTGTATTTAATCTGGGTGTGTTTTTTTGGTGTTGTGTGTAGGATGGTTGTACTCGTTGATGTCGTCCCACCAGAAGTCTTTTCACTCCGACTGCGAACACACGAACCTCATCTGGCTTGTCCGAGTTGTGAGAGTGTAAAGCCTAACTTTCAATCCCTAAAACCCTAAAGACAAAAACCAAATACCCGAAAAAACCCAAATACCCCAAAAAGCCTAAATGCCCTAAACCTTGTAATACCCTAAACTCTAGACTTTAAGGATTATCCTTATGGTACGCCCAAATATCCAGGAACACTAAACCCTTCCCGTAACATTATCCACAGGTTGTGTTGAGTCTTAGTCAATTTAAGGGAGGGGCAATTTGGATCGAGTCTCCTAAAAGGTGACATCATCAAAGATTATCATGGTTCCCAAATTCGCGGGGTTCGTTGTGAATTGTCACCTTTCAGGCCCTTGAGATTCAGTGGGAAAACGCTACTGCATTGCACTGAACCTTGGGAACACAGACGGGTCGTCTTAGTGGCCTTCACAGCTATGGGGGCAGCAAATGCCCCGAGTTGCGTCAGGGAATGTTTGGAGGCCGTTGGTTTCGATTTTCTTTTCAGTTACGAATGTGAATTCTTCGCTACGCAACCTTTAGGTCCAGGGCAGCCTGCACAGACACAGCTCTCTTTTGAATCAGGGCGAAAGGCGGGCATATGGAATGCGGGCAAGCTTAAACATGGTAAACGTTTGGTTGTTCCGATTTCAGACAATGAAGATGGACCTCAGGCCACACTTATTGATTCATATGCCCGCTCGTTGCATGGCCTGGAATCGCAGGAAACGGTGCCTTACTATGATGGACATCAGAGATCGAGGCATCGTGTGTAATACGCGATGCCCCGAGGGCAGGCGTCTGTGGTCATGTCCTGTGGTCATGTCTTGGTCGTCTGCATGTCAATCTACCTCCTTTGTCCTCCCTTCACTGCTTCTTCGGGCCTACCTTAGCCCTAATCTCAATACTTCAGAATGTTTTAGCCTTCGACCCTTAACGGTGCCCTCTAACGCCCCCCTTTCCTTACTTCTGGTTTGCAGTTTTCTTGTTATTATGTAAGACCCTAGAAACCACCAACCTGCGAATTCGCGGATGCCATGGATATCCTACAGTTATGGCTGGAAATCTAGCTGGAAATCTATCTGGGTGCAACAATGGCAAATCTGGATCGATCAGAAATGCTGATGCACTGACGAAGAGGACAGCAAGCTGGCCTGGGTGGTGCGAGAAGTATCTCCGGAATAGACATTTGGGCACCATGATGACGCACGACGGAATTCAGTGCATCTGATACCTGCACCACGAAATCTGTGAGGCCAGAGGTGGCTATGAACAGCTTTTGCATGACTGCATGGGAATGGGATGCATGATGAAGCCTATGTCTGTACCATGGACAACATATTGCGCAGCTCGATGAGAGCCACCCTGCAGCGCACAACATCACACGCTGAGTGCATGATCGATGCAAGTTGAATTTAGGAATTTGAGTCTGCAAGAACACAAAGGGATATTTCGATATTCGGGAGCTCATGCAAGATTGTCAGCAGAGTATATGTGTCCGACTATCAATCGCTGACTGCTGGTGGCTTTGCATCTGGGTTGGACGGATGCGTAACGCTGATGGTCTGCAGTACCTTCTGCCTAGGCTGGCGATTGAATATCTGGGCCCTGACAACGAAGGAACAAGTGAAAGCAGTTGACAACATGTGGAAGGCATAATTCATTTGCAAGCTTGCCAATGAGGTAATTACCGGCGGTCGTTAGCATGTGTATCTTTGCCAAACAAGTTTCACATTCACTCAAGTTAGGCTTAAGGAGGAGACAGAAATACCTGAGGTCCTCCCTGGCCTTCTGATGTTTGACCCATTATTGACTCAACTACTTTACCCGAGCCCCAACATTGTTTCCTCCTGTATGACATTCCGTCGAAGTCCGCTAACTAGCTACAGTGATGAGCGGATTTTGGTGGACACACGTGCGTAAAGTGTTGACTTAGAGGTTCTATGGTAGGGTCCTCGATGTCTGATTCGAAGCATGTGTGTGGGTTTCACTTTGCAGACCTCGTACCGTATGCCTCGCCTGGATTGTCCGAGTGTGAGAACCGAAACCCTTCCCGTACTCGTATAGAGGCCTGTAGGAGCACTAAACCCAAACAACATTGAGCCGTGGCTGGCGAAGCTGGGAGGCCTTCCTGCTAAAATAGCAATAATGAGAACAATATTGGTAATAACAATAACAATATCCACAAAAATTGAAAAGTAGTAATATTGGCAACACTAATGCTAATAGTAATAAGATACTACCTAATGTAGTGATATGAATAAAGTACTATTTTTAGGATGGAACCTTCAGATCCGAGATTAGTCTTGCGTCATCTCCCCGCCCTTCACCCAACGAGCCTGGAAGCGCCGGCGGTTTGAGTCGGCTTGAGGGTTTGAGAATTGAGGGTTTGGGGATGTAGGGTTTGAAATTTAGGGTTTGGGGATTTAGGGTTTGAGAATTTAGGGTTTGGGGA